TGTGTGTGTGTGTGTGTGTGTGTGTGTGTGTGTGTGTGCGTGTGTTCAGCGGACAAATCAACACATCTTGACCACGTGTGACTTTTTTATTGAGTTCACATTCTAAGAAAAGACACTGCCACACATCTGTTAGAAAATAAGACTACGAGTTAGTAAAAATGTTTGTTTTTTTTTTCTTTCCAAATGTTAATGATGGTCTACTTACAAACATACAGGTAATGCAACAGTCTTAACATACATAAAATCATACATTACCAGTCACAATTATTATTTTTTTTTAAATAAAAGAACCAGCATCATGCTTTTATCATTGTGGGTTTTTATGTGCCGCTGCATTGAATCGAGAGGTGAGGAGATTAGGGTCACAAAGAGGTMAAAGTTGCCTCCTGTTGAGTTTCTCTGGAGCCCCAAAAGACACACATTGAAGCACAAGTTTGCGCTAAGTGTGATCTCATCCACAAACATGAAACTTCATGCATCAGTCATAGAAATCCATTTTCTCTTCCTAACACTGAGGCATTGTGTGATGGGGGTTTCACATACAGAAATAAATGTATTGTTAAAAAAATGATAAAGTTCACAGAGGTCCCAGAACAATATCACCTTCTACAATCTTATAACTGATCATGATATTTACAGATAAGGCACACAACCTGGTACAGTTTGAATGAACAAAGTCGGATATAGTAAAAATTTGTGGGAAATTCCACTTTTTATGTGGGAAATACTTCTGGAAAAGGTGGATTTGTGAGTCAAATTTTCCATAAATATGTTTAAAAGCCCTTTCTTTCCTTTAACAGTAAAATATCTCAAAGCAGCTGCAGTGCCCCATTATGTATAAGATGAGTCGAGATTTTTTTACAGTGAAACATGCTTTGTTTCTCTTTAAATTTGTAAGCGTGTCACGATGGTTATGGTTTTCTATTCAGGATTGAGGACTAAAAAATTGCATAAAATTTGTTAGATTTATTTTTTCTCTGCACATGAATGTCAAGGATGCTTGTTTTCATTGATGAGCGTGGTTTCTTTTATTGTGTCACGTCCAACAATGCTTTGCGCTGATACTGCATGATCTTTATCGCCCGGACGCCTATTTGTACAGCGCGAAAAGAGAGGATTTGGCCTGAGGTCACTACCACAGTTCACTCTCTGATTGGGCAAAAACGAGCCACAGGGGCAGCTCCGTATCACAGTACACTGATTTCYCAAAATCTACGAAACACTAGCAGATCTAAAAAGAAAAAAAATGGATATCGCATTGAGACAGACATTCAACAAGTGGTCTTTTTTTGTTTGTTTCCCCTCACTTACTCAGTTTTGATGGTGTTGCTTTATATATAAACACAAAAAAGAGAGAAATGGTGGAAAACTGACACAGATCTCTCTTCGCTTGTAAAAATCCAGTGTGAATGGATGCACTGATGAGGTTTTGTAAAAGTTAAAAACCTTGCAGAGATGAAGCCTCTGAATGTGCAAAAGAGGTAAATGCACCTCCTAACCTGAAAGTGAACCTTTTCCCTGCTTTACAAAAGCCGGGCCTCTAAATTTACCAGCAGTTGGGTCTTTTCACAAGGCCTGCAGCCAGATGCTGCATTTACAGCATGTTATTGTGAAAAGGAAAAATGAAGGTCTGTGTCGATTTACAGCAAASTTACTGAGCCGCAGACACACAAGCATAACTCTTTCCCCTACCTATTCAAACTGCTGTAAACGTTTCTATTTTGTTGTTGTTGTTGTTGCAAATACCTTTTGTATTAGAAAAGATGTCTAAAAACGTAACAAAAAAATTGTCAAGTAAAAAAAAATCCCACCCACGTGTCTTTTTTTCTTTTTTTTAATATAAAAACACACTTAATAAAAAGACTCGTCTTTAGTATCTGCTTTTTCTGGTGTTTCATCTTTAGCACAAACACTCTGATCTTTTTTTGTTGTTGTTGTTTTGATTTGTTTTGTTTTGTCACTTTTTCAGAACTGTCTTTTCTATCCTTGTTGATTTTTTTTTTATCCACTTGTTTTCCTGCCTGATCACAAGTGTGTGTTGTTGCAACTTAGTTGCGTGTACTCTCTCTCGCGGGTTTCATATGGTGAGATCGTCTGACCTGGCCCTGCTGCTTGCTTTGCTCAGTCGGCTCAGAGGTCTGGTGTCTTCTATCGTGTCGGTGGCCTCCATCCCTGCATCATCTGGAGTTGCCACCTCCTCGTTCACGGCCCCCTCCACCTCTGCATCCTCCTCTACACCCTTCTCCATTTTCTCTGCTTCCGCTTCTGGCAGAGGCGCCTCCTGGGCCTCCACCTCATCTAATGTCATCCCCCCTATCTCAGTTGTCTGGGTGTAGGAAGGTAGAGTCTCATCGTACACCTTAGAGATGTCTTCCATGGGCAGCACCTCTTCCATCTTCTCCTCCAGACCTTGAAACGGTGGGGTCCCTCTGCCGGCCTCCATACCTATCTCGGCCAAAGGGTAGAGGTGCGTTACAGGGGGAACTTTCTCTTCTTCCAGCAACCTGTAGCCTTTTGCTCTCTGCAGAGCAGGAACTGCCAGTGGATGCAGACTCTTTCCTGGCAGGGGTGCTGAGCCCTCACCTTGGGCCGGGGCTGGAGCTGGCTTACGAAAAACAAAGCGAATTTTCTTCAGGCCCAAGTGGCTGATCTCCACAAAGTTGAGAAAGAGTGAGACGCAGGCCACAGCCAACATGAAAATGATGAAGACCGTCTTCTCTGTCGGGCGAGACACAAAGCAGTCCACCGTGTTGGGGCAGGGCCAACGGCTGCATTTATATAGCGGCAAGATGCGGAAGCCATAAAGAAAGTACTGGCCCACCACAAAACCCACCTCAAACAGGGTTTTGAAGATGATGTGGCAAATGTAGGTCCTCAGCAGGGTGCCCTCCAGGCGAAACTTCTTGCTTCCCTTGGTGCTGGTCTCCTTTGTGGTCCGGACACTTCCCTGGTCGGGTGCCAGRGGGAGACGCTCCTCACTCAGTTCCTGCTGCCGACTAAGTTCTGCCTCCTCACGCTCTTTGCGTTTTTCCTCCATGTGGACGTGGTGCACGGCATGGCCCACGTACACAAGCGACGGCGTGGAGACAAAGATGATCTGCAGCACCCAAAGGCGGATGTGGGAGATGGGGAAGGCCTCGTCGTAGCACACGTTCTCACATCCAGGTTGCTGCGTGTTGCAGACATAGTCGGACTGCTCGTCGCCCCACACGAACTCTGCCGCCGTGCCCAGGATCAGGATGCGGAAGATGAAGAGCACCGTGAGCCACACCCGGCCGATCACCGTAGAGTGCTCGTTAACTTCCTCTAAAATGTTTCCCAGAAAGCTCCAGTCACCCATGATCGGTCCGTAGCACTGCAGAATGAAGGGTGGGGTTGGGAGGGCCACAAAGGGTGCAGTCATATGGGGAAGGGTGGGGTAGGCAGGACCAAGGGGGAGGGGAGGGGAGCACCAAAAAGTTAGCAGTGCAGCAAAGGAAAAGTCTTACTTCTTCAAAAAAATTAACGATTAACATTAACTTCATTAATCTGCACGTTTTCCAATTTAAAACCTGAAAAAACTAAACTTTAAAAAAGCTTTAAACCTTTCTGTGTGCTTCTGTCAGTTTTACTTCCAGAATAAACACAGACCTTTAATACATCCGAAAAGTGCTCTAAATAAAAACTCATTTGAACTATTGATCTGTCGATACTGGTGCTGCTTGTTTCTCACTGTGTCACAAGAAAAATTACAAAAGTAAATACTTGTATATTTTGTCATCTAAAATTCTTAAAGCCATTCTAGTACAATCAATAAAGATTAGTTAGCAACAATAAAAAAGCCCTCCTCTGTAATGCGTCGTTATAGGATAAAAAGYAATCAAATGGGCAACTTGCCACAGCTGCGGCTCCGGCAAAGTTGAGTCCTGTCCCGTCCTCTTGGCACCCGGCAGGGAAAAGTGAACTTTTTTCTGCCCTCTTTCCCACCTAAAGCCCTGTCCTTGTCGCCCCACTGAGCAGATGTGAATGAATCGGCTCTGATGGTTGGTTTTTAGTTTGCCTGCAATATTTAAGCTTGGAGCCAGACGGCCTTTATTTGCCGGGCGACGTGTGGTGACGCAGAAGACAATAGGATCAACAAAGGCCGAGCGGCGATGTATGGAAGCAGGCCTCAAGCTCCCACACCAACATGGACAGTACAAGGCCGGGGCACAGGGTCCACGGTCCAGCTCTTAGCACGCTGCTTCCTTACTTGTGTATGTTTCTGTCYACTGAGGCCTGGGGACAGCAGATAGTTTCAACGGATGCCTCTGGCTGCACTGCGATGAGCAACATTAGAGCAGAGAGGCAGGTCAGTAACAAACCATCAGCTCAGGCAAGGAGAGTTATGTTGCTGCGCAGCACTTCTGGATATTGTCATTTACTGAACAAAATATTACAGTGGATTTATTTCAGGTTGTGTGAAACAGAACAACAAACCCAAGTCAAGTGTCAGTGTTCTTGTCTGTTTTATTTTGCCAGATCTTTTATTTATTACTCAAGTTCAATTCTATTCAATTCAATTTAAAAAAATATTAATTTCATTAAAAACAAAGAAAATACGCAAGTCAAAAAATCTAAATAAAATGAAAGGTAGCAGAAGAAGAATAAATCTTATAAATCTTATAATG